CCCCAGCGTCCCCTTCTGTGAAAGGGATGCAAACGATCCTTCCGGGGACTGCGTCCATTCAGTGTGCGAGCTCCTGACACCCACCTGGCCAGGCTCTGGGCCCAGGTCCTCTGGGCCCTGGTAGTGCCCTGGCAGCCACTCAGTCCCCTGAGCAAAGGAAGGCCTACAGGGCAAATGGGTGGGGAGGGGCAGGGTCCCAAGTCTGCAGCAGCATGCCTGGAAACTACCTTCCATTTACTCCCTCAGTGCCCCCCGTGTCCTGACAGGCCCCTGGACCCCGGGTCACCTCAGCCCTAGGGGCTCAGACAGGAGCCTCAGGCAGCCAGTGTGAATCCCCACCCCCTTTGCCTCTACAGGTCGGACACCGCCCCGAAGAAGTGAGCCCTTCCCAGCACCCCCAGAAGACGGTGAGCTGGGGGGTGGGGTGGAGCCTGGCCCCCAGCTCCCCAGTCCTCAGGACCCTGCCCCTCCCCTGGCCTCCCCTCGCTGACACCACCCTAGTCTCTCTCCCACTGGCTCAAGGCCGCCGACTGTGCTGGGCCCCAGGCTGGGCCCCGGTGAGTGGGCACGGACGAGGCAGGCAGGTGCTCCCCCCAGAGCCCGCACCCTAGTGAGGAGGGCAGACAGCGAACAGACCCCCGCACGGGCGGGTCCAGAGACCACACACGTGCTGTGGAGGAGCATGCTGGGCCTGGTGAGAGACGTCACCCACTCATCACCAGCACCCCTGGCACACGCTTCCCGGTGACCCCTCCACACACGGTGCCCGACGCCTGCTTCCTGCCAGGCCTGGGACGGGGGAGGGAGAAAGTGGGGGACAGGCACAGCCCCAGCCCCTGGGCCTCCCTCCCCAGCTGCCCGCGGGCTCCTGCTCTGTCCCCCACGATTGCAGGTGCCATCAGAGTCTCACCCCGACCCCTGCCTTCCTCCTGACCCAGAGGACATTTCCTCTTGCCCCCAGACACGGCCATAGCCAAGGAGGCGGCGAAGCCCAGCCCAGCCATGGACACACAGTTCCCGGTGCCAAACGTAGGTCAGGGTGGCGGGCTGTGGTGGGAGACTCACGGGGGGCTGGGCCCCGAGCCGGGGCTGGGGGCAGAGAGGTAACCCGCAGGCCCCCACCCACCGTGCTCCGGTCCTCCAGCTCGAGGCCCCGCCCTGGCCCCCGCTCGTCACTTCCACCCCTGCACCCAAGGCCGAGCCTGCCATCATCCCTGCCACCCGAAACGAGCCCATCGGGCTGAAGGCTTCCGACTTCCTGCCCGTGAGTGGGGACCCAGCCAGGGGCGGGGTGGAGGCCCGTGGGGCAAGGGTAGAGAGCTTCGCCGCCAGCGCCCGGGCCCCCGTCCCCCCAGGCCGTGAAGATCCCCCAGCAGACAGAGCTGGTGGACGAGGATGCCATGTCGCAGATCCGCAAAGGCCATGACACCATGTGCGTGGTGCTCACCAGCCGCCACAAGAACCTGGACACCGTGCGGGCCGTGTGGACCACGGGCGACATCAAGGCAAGAGCCGTCCTCGCCCCTGCCCCGAGCTTAGGGCTGGCCGAGGAGAGGGCCACAGGATGCAGGGCAGTGGCGGGTGGGAGGCCCCTTTCACCGCACTGTGGCTGACTCCACCTTCATTGCTTCCACCCTTGTCCTCGCCAGCTGCCACTCATTGAGCACCGGTGGAGTCTGGTGCTCACCAGCTGCCATTCATTGAGCATCAGTGGAGTCTGGTGCTCACCAGCTGCCACTCATTGAGCAGCAGGCCTGGCCTCTCGAGGCTCCTTATTTTAGGTGGTCCTCTTAATACCCCACAAAAAACCCATCGTCACACCACACCCAGGCAGGGGCCTCCCTGTCCCCAGCCCTCTGCAACGGGTGCTCTGTTTGCACAGACGTCGGTGGACTCGGCCGTGGCCATCAATGACCTGTCGGTGGTGGTGGACCTCCTGAACATCGTCAACCAGAAAGCGTAAGTGGCCACAGCGGGCGGAGTGGGTGGAGGGGGCGGGGCTGGGTGCTGAGGGCACCTGTCCCCGGGCCTCTCCCCAGCTCCCTGTGGAAGCTGGACCTGTGCACCACGGTCCTGCCGCAGATCGAGAAGCTTCTGCAGAGCAAGTACGAGAGGTACGTGTGGGGGAGCCCGGGCCGCCTCGCAGCAGGGAGAGGAGGGGACCGAGAGGCTCCTGCAGGGACCACGTGAGGTGGCCGCCTCTGATCTGCCCCGACCTATCTGTCTTTGTGTACTTGCTGTCTGTCTGTCTGTCTGTGGCTCCGTCCTTCCGTCTGCCTCTGAAGCTATGTCCAGACAGGCTGCACCTCACTGAAGCTGATCCTGCAGCGGTTTCTGCCACTGATCACTGACATCCTGGCAGCCCCGCCCTCTGTGGGCGTGGACATTAGCCGGGAGGAGAGGTGAGGGGCCTGGTCAAGTGCCTGTGTTGGGGGCAGGGGTGCCACCCCAGGCTGAGGGCACGTGGGCCGAGGGGCCCAGCCCGCTGTTGGGAAGCCCCACTAGAGCAGCTGAGGAGGAGGTCACTGTGCCTGCACAGAGTCCCTGGCTCAGGGTGTCGGGCAGGGGTAGCAGAGCCTGGGCTCCTCCACGGCCTGGCTCTGCCCGGCGTGGCCTGGTGTGGTCTGGAGGTCGGGCGGGGGTAGTTACGACAGGCAAGGCCCCAGGGTCAGGGGGCGTCATGGTATCCGGGCAGCCAGCCACCTCAAGTGCAGCCCCTCTGCCCACAGGCTCCACAAGTGCCGGCTCTGCTACAAGCAGCTCAAGGGCATCAGTGGCCTCGTCAAGAGCAAGGCGGGCTTGAGCGGCCGTCACGGCAGTGCCTTCCGGGAGCTGCACTTGCTCATGGCCAGTTTGGACTGAGGGGTCCAGTGGGCGGGGGCACCTGGCAGCCCTTGGGGCCTGGCCTCAGCACGCACTCCTGCTCCCTGTGCGCCCACTGGCCCGTGAGCCTCTGCCCTGCCCCCTCCGCTGCCCTGTGGCCGTCCTGGAGGCGGCAGCACTGACCCACCGGCTGCCTCCACAGCCCTGAACTCAGATGACTCCTATCAGCAGTGGCTGCCCAGCTTTGCCCAAATCTTGCTTCCTGGGGCAGCCAACCAAGCCCTGCGGCTGCTGCTGTAATTTATAAGGCAAATTTTATTAAATTTGTAAGTATTTACTGTTTTTTTTTGTGGGGAGAGGTATATTTGGCCACAGGGGCTTCTGCAGGGACGGTGCACCAGGCTGTGTGGCCAGCAGGGGGCAGCAGAGTGCTGGGCAAACAGGAAAGGGCCAGTTCTGACTTTGGGAGAGAGGAAGGGGAAGCAGCAACTCTTCCTCCATGGCTGGGAGACAGGTGAGGGGGTGCCCCACCATCCCCTCCATCTCAGCCACACTCCCAGGGGTGCACTGGGCCCTCCAAGGCCAACAGCTGAATCCTGCAGGGTGCTAGGACCCCCGCCTCACAGCCATGGCCACCACTGTGCTGGCCCAGACCCCAGCATGCACCCCGGGCCCCCCCCGCCGCCAGGCAGGCTTCAGACCCCGGGCTGGGGGGGCCGTCCCCCACGCCCCCAGGAGGGCCCTGAATGGACTTCACTCCGTGCAGGAGTCCCCAGGGCCGGCTGGCCAGGATGAGCCCCCTCAGCCGGTGGGCTTCGCTTCTCCCCAGGCAGCGGTGGGTGGGTGGCCCAACCCCTGTCGGAGGGGGGATCCCACTGAGCACAGCATCCCCCAAGGCTGCAGCCAAGTCCAGGCCAACACACCTCATGGCGGGGGTGGGGGCTGCCCTGCATGGGTGGTCGGGGTCCCATCAGCCCTGGGGGAGGTGGCACTCGCCTGTGGCCAGTTCACTTACAGGGACAAGTCCAGGGCCCAGCCGTGGTTTTGCCAGGACTTGCGGAGCCTTCACTTCCCGTCTGCACGGTGGAGGTGCCTGCACTGTTCGTGGGTCGGGGTCAGTTGCTCACAGTCAGGGAGGGGGCGCCGGCCCCCCAGTCACAGGTGCTCAGGACACGCCAGGCTTCCGTGGAGGGCCGCAGGCGACCACCAGGCAGGCGCTCCTGATGGCCAGGGGTTCGCGAGACCCACCCTTCCAGACCACGCTTGTGCAAAAAGGCTTTTATTTTAATACGTAAAAATGGCTAAGCTTCCAAAAGTTCTTAAATAGGATTTCAGAGGGAAGACTGTGTCCAGAAGCCAGGGAGCAGGGACAGCCTGGTGTCAGGCAGATGAGGGGTGCAGCAGAGTCCCCGCCCCCTGGCTTCCCGCCAGCCATAAATACCGCCCGGCCTGGGGCTGGCAGGGCCTGCTCCTCTGTACACCAGTGCACACCATACACTTGCCCCGTGGGGTGCCCCCTGGTGGACTTCCCCCGGCATGCCCACCAACTGACCAGCCTGTCCTGGTTCCTGTGCCTCCCAGGGGCTCCTCGGCCGCCCGCCTCAGAGGGCGCCCTGCAGCCTGGGAGAGCTGGGCCAGCCGGGGCGAAGGCCACCCTCCAGACACCACTGCCCTCCCCACAAGGGGCCACCGTCGGAGGGCCTGGGTCTGCCAGGTGGAGCAGGACATCCCTGCCCTTCCAACCCGAGTCAATTGCACCAAGAGCCACAGCCGAGAGACACCATTTCCTTCTGAACATGTTTCATCTCAGGGGAGACAGAAGAGGGGCCTCACTCCGGCCTCTGCCTCCTGGACCCCCAGCTGCAGCGGGCGAAGGCCAGCGAGGCCTCAGGACCTAGCCCCCGGCATGGTGGGTGGACGCGTCCGTCAATCCATCAGACAGGCAACGGCCTCGACTTCCCTGTGGGGGGGAGGGGCTCCTGAGGCTCTGTTCGGGAGCAGGGGGGAGCCCAGCAGAAGCACACAGACAGCAGGCAGCGGAAGGACAGACCCAGCCGTGAGCAGCAGGCGCCCTGCACAGCCCAGCAACCCAAGACGAGGTCAGGCGGCAGATAGCGCTGGGCCCCTGGCCCACACTCACCTGGAGACTCTGCAGCCCCAGCCTCAGGCTGAAATCAAAGCAACAGGCATCTCACTGGGGGGCCTGCCTTGGGCCAGGACCCCTCAGGACTCTGCTGCCCCTGTGTCTTTGTGCTCCAAGCACTTGCTGGGCCTTTCTGCAACTGGGGCCAAGGTGGGGGCTGGAGGCCTGGTTTCCAGGCCTCTGACCAGGCTCACTGCTCACCAGGGACATGGAGTGGACCCTGTCCTTTCCACCCCCGGAGCCAAGGCCCAGGTCTAGGGACGCCAGGCCTGCTGTGGAAGACACGCCGCATGAGCCCAGCCTGGACACTCATGGCCTGAGCCTCGAGGCCCCCGGCCCAGCTAGGAGTGGGGGTCTTCGGTTTCCCGTCTGTAAAGCGGACCCAGCGCTGTCTGCCCCAACTCCCAGGCCCAGGGAAGGGTGTGACACAGGCTCTAGGGAAGTTTTAGAAACTCTTAAAAAGAGGAAAGAAAAAGCCTGTCCACGTAAGGGCAGGGCAGCCCAGTGGCTGTGACTGACCTGCTGGGGATGGGGCTCACCCACCCACCCACTCCCTCCCCGAAGGCTCACCTGAGGGCTGCAGCCTCCTCCGGATGGAGCCTGGGCGGCTAGTGGTCCCAGAGCCAGGCGCCGAATGAGCCCGGGCTGAGGGCTGTGGCGTCTGGCAGGCTGGCTCCCACTGTGGGCGGGGGCAAGCAGGTGGGTGGGGCCGTGCCGCCTGCCCCCCAGCCCTGCTGCCCTCCACTCCCCTCCCAGCCTCCTGACACCTTGCTCATCTGCAAAACGGGCATGACAATGGCGATGCCCCAGCTCAGTTGTTGCGAGAGTTACACGAGAGTACATGTAAGGAAGTGACCTAGTTACCGCTGAGCACCCGTGTGCCCACCTGCGGCCCACCTCCCCGACCAGCTGAAGGCCCCACAGGGACCTCCGAGGCCCTGAAATACTGGGACTAAAGAGGCTACCGGGTCTGGGTTCGAGTTCTGGCTTCAGCCCCTCTGGCCTCTCTCCTCCATCCCTGCCCCCATCCTGCCCCTCACCTGGAAGCCTCCGCCCAGGGCCCCTGGAACAGGCCTGTGCCATCCCCTTACCTCCAGATGCTCCTGGCTGGACCAGGACCCCAGCTCTGCCCTGCGCGACCCAGGGCCCAGCTCCACAGAGCGGACCCTCTCGGCAAACTTGAGGGAGTAGAGCGTCTCGCTGGTGTTCTTCTCCACGGGGGACACCTGGGGGACACGAGGGCTTGCTCACCACCGAAGCCAGCCGCCCCCACAGAACTGGAGGGGGCAGCATGCTCGCCGGAGGGTGCTCCTGGGCCAGGGGACCTTGAGAGGTGCACGGCGTGTGTGGCCAGGTCTGCTGGGGAGGCTGGAGGGGTGCACGGCACCCAGCTTCGGAGCCGCTGGGGACAAAGGTCCCTTCACACAGCTTGGGTACCCGGAAGGGGTCCCTGGCCGTGGTGCCGGCCGAGCCCACCCGAGGCCCTCACCTGCACCACCATGAGGGTCTTGCTGTCCCCACTGAGCGAGTCCTGCAGCAGGTAGGTGAGCTTGGAGTTGCGGAAGGGCACGTGGCCCTGGCGGGAGCGCAGAGCCGCGATGACGTCCCCCAGCGCCGACAGGGACTTGTTGATGTGCTGCGCCTCCCGCAGGCGGCTGCCCTCCGCCCCGGACTTGCCCACGCGCTCCGAGCCGGCCAGGTCCACCAGGTTCAGCTTCCCTGCGGGGAGGGCACCAGGCAGGTCAGGGGCGCCCAGGGGACAGGGGCGGGGGAGCTCGGGCCAGGCTGCCCGCCGCCCTCACTCACCCGTGGTGCGGAGGCCGGTGCTGCAGTCCACGCCGCGCACAGTCACGATGAGCAGGGCGTGCGAGCGGGAGCTGTGCTCGTTCAGGTTGGTGAACTCCGTCGTGCGGTTGGTGTGGCCGAACTCAAACACCTGGGGTGGGGGCGTGGCAGAGAAACCGGGCTCGGAGTGGGGTCTTGCAACCACCCCGTCCCCGAGAATCCCCGTGAGGGGTGTCACCCCTGCATTGTACAGAGGAGGAAACTGAGGCTCCAAGGGGTGTGGGGACATGGCTGCGCCAGAGCACCCGGCTCTGGGTGGGGTCTCCCCACATTTCTCCGCCCCCAGCTCCACACCTTGTTGATGTCCTCCACGCTCTGCACCTGGAACTCAGTCAGGCCCGGCACGTACAGCTGCCCGCTGCCATCTGGGCACAGCCGGATCTCCAGTTTCTCCTGGGGCTCCTGCCCCAGCAGGTCCCTGGGTGGGGGGTGGGGGGGGAGGCGGGACAGTGACTCCCTCCTCCCGTGTCTCCCACCCGGCAGCCTGCAGGGGCGGGGAGGCCACTTCCAGGGGGAAAGGAGCACCTCCACCTGTGCCTCCCGGTCCCGGGGCTCAGAGCCAGCCCTCCTGCCCTGCCTCTAGGCTGGGGGGAGGAGCCAGGACCAACAGACCCCCTGAGCTGAGTCCTCACGGACAGCCCCCATCTCCCTTCTTCGGGGAGAAACCCCACCTCCCTTCCCACACGGCTCTGCGCCAGGGCCGCAGGCCTGAGCGCCTCCACCTGAGAGTGCCTCCCACCTGAGAACCTCAAACTCCAGGGCCGCCCACCTGAGGGCCTCGTTGTAGATCTCGGCCGCGCTGACGGTGATGGTGTATTCCCAGTCGGACGCCTTCTCCTGCACCTCGGCGAAGAGCAGCTGCAGGGCCCGCTGGTTGATGCCTGGGTTCTCAGGGGTCCCCTGGGGGCAGCAGGACGACCCCAGTGAGCCGGGCCCCTCCCCACACCGGGGTGGCCGTGCGGATGCTCACGGGGTGTCTGTGACGCACCCCCAGCCACCCCTCGCAGGCCAGCCTCCGTGCCAGAAGTTCACGTCTGCATGCTGGTCTGCCCCCAAGCCCCCTCCACCAGCTGCAAGCAACTTCGTTCTTGCAGCCCCTCCGTGGGCCTCAGTTTCCCGGCACCACCCTGCCAGAGCTGCCCGGAGGCTTCCGGCAGAGCCCCCAGGTGAATGCCTGGCGGGGGACTGCACACAGCGGGTGCTGAGCCTCCCGGAAGGGGCCCCGCCCCGGGAAGCTGCGATTTCCCTGCCACTGCCCACACGCGGGTCCAGCGTCAGCGAGGGCAGGAGCCAGGCCCTGGGGGAGTGGAGGGAGGCACAGGGGCTGGTGGGTGCCCTGGGCCTGTGAGCTGCCTGGCCTTTCTGAGAGGTAACCTCACCGGCGCCCTCTCTCCCCTTAGATGGCGCCTCCCGTCCAAGGGCCGTCCCGCTCCCCTTGTCCACTGCCCTCCCTCTAGACTCAGGGATCCCCACAGCACCCCCTCAAGAGCCAGGGAAATGCTAACGAGCCAAAGGCACCCCCTGGGCCAGCCTTTCTATCTGCAGTTGAGATTCCTCCTCGCCCTGGAGGCCCGGTGCCCCTTGGGGAGGGGACAGACCCAAGCAGGGAGATGATGCTCTGCCCGGGAGTGGCAGGTGGGAGCTGGGCGCCCCACCGCAGTCTGCACCGGTCTGTGCCGGCCGTCCCTGTCGCTGCCCGGGGTCTCCTCTAGGGCGGAGACCTGCCCTCATTCATTCCCATAGTCCCAGGGCCCAGCACGGCACAGCCGTGTGCTGAGAGCCCGGCAGAGGTGTACGGGCGATTTACGGAGGCTGGTCTGGAGAGGCCGCCTCCGACTTCAGGCCAAGATCCTTCATTCGGCCAGCCCTGGCTGGCATAGCTCAGTGGATTGAGCGCGGGCTGCGAACCAAAGCGTCGCAGGTTCGATTCCCAGCCAGGGCCCATGCCTGGGTTGCAGGCCACGGCCCCCAGCAACCGCACATGTTTCTCTCTCTCTCTCTCTCTCTCTCTCTCCCCCCCTTCCCTCTCTAAAAATAAATAAATAAAATCTTTAAAAAAAAAAAGATCCTTCGGCCACTAGTGTGTCTGCTTCTCCCACCCACGGGGACCCCCACAGGGGCCCCTCTTCGGGCCTGGAGACTTGGGGGGGGTTGTGAAGACTGAGTAGGGCAGCACGCACACCGCGCAGAACCCCAGACCCGTGAGGAGACGCCCCATCGATGGCAGCAAGGGGTGGTCCTCCCTGTCCGAATCCCGGTCCCAGCCGGCCGGCACCCACCTCCATCGTGTAGGTCTTGCCAGCGCCCGTCTGGCCGTAGGCGAAGATGCAGACGTTGTAGCCGTCGATGCAGGAGGTGATCAGGGCCTGCACCTCCTGGAACACCTGGGGAGGGGACGGGGAAGGAGGGTGTGGGGCTGCCAGGGCCGCGGGGCCCGGGGTTCCCGCCAGCCCCAAGTCCAGCCACCTCCCCCGACCGCTGTCTCCTCCAGCAATAACACAGCATGTTAATGTGGGCGGCCAGCTCGCTGTGGAGGAGTTCGGGACTAGTAAGTCACTGGCACTAGACATCAACGGTGACCTGGTTGCCAAAGGACAACCAGGAGGGAAGACAGCGCAGTGCTTGCTGCCCGCCAACACCTGAGAAAGGGTTCGCCCAGCTCTGGAGCTCCGGAGACCAGCCCCGGCTCCTTCACTCTGCTGAGTGAAGGCAGAAGGCAGCCACCTGCATGGCACCGCCTCTGCCTGCCTGCCTGACAGTGGGCCAAGGTGCAGCAAAGGTAAAGCCAGGCGCAGGTGGCACAGCACAGGCGAGACAGGCCTGGCAGGTCGGCCCTGGCAGAGGTGAGGCAAGGGCTGATACGGAGACCACTTGCTGCTCACAGGCTGGAGGGACCAGACTCAGTGCTGGCCAGGGTCGTGTTGATGGGAGGAGCCACATGGTGGGTGGGGCTTTTGAGGGTGGGAGGGGCCACATGGGTGGGAGGGGCCGTGTGGTGGGTGGGGCTGTGCCTGGATCTCTTCTTCCCAGCAGAGGCTTCTAAGGCTGAGTCTTAGCTTCCCACCTTCTCCTCTCCAGAGGGGAAGGAGAGTGGGACCCTGGCACCCAGGCTTCTCCGTCCTGTCTCCTGCCACTCTCACACTTCTGTCTGCCCCCCACCATCTCTCCCTTTGCTGGTGAGTCTCTTTATGACCCCTTCTCTCCACTGCTCTCTCTCCCTGCCCCCCACCACCCACAGGAGCCACACTCACGTCCTGCTGCGAGGCCCTCGGGGAGAAGACCTTGTCCAGCTCAAAGGACACAGGCTTTCCTTTGTGCAGCAGGTGGATGATGGAGTCATCGTCAGGATCGAAGGTCACTGCATTGGTCGCCTCGGGTCCTTCCCCATCCTCTTTGGTGATCGGCCGGACCCGAGCAATCACCCGGATGTTCCCTGCGACAGATGGGGGAGCAGAGAAAGGCACAGGCCACGTCAAGACCAGACTACTCTGTGTCCAGTGGTGTCCTAAGCAGCCTGGTGGCACAGGAGGCTCCTGTCTTCTAAGCAAAGCACCCAGGGCCACAAAACTGTTATCAGTCACTCACACTATAGTATGAATTCACTTATTGGTACACTTCCTTCCAGAGCTAACCAGTTGGGGGTGGGAGCTTCACCTTGGGACAGGGAGAAAAGGTCAACTGCAGGGGTCATGTGGGTGGGAGGAGTGGGTACCGGTCTGGGTGGAATGCCAAAACAGACGCTCTCTTTGCACCTCTGTACTTCAGGTTCCTCGTGTACACAGTGAAGGGCTTGGGTGTCAGTAAGCCGAGGCTCGTTCTATCGCTCAGAAAGGGCGCTGCAAATGCCAGGGTGGGGCCCGGGGAGCAGGAGGGCAGACTGGACCGGACGGTGGGTGGACGACTGGCAGCACACCGATGGACCCGGCCGCAGGGCAGCCCTGGGGCTCTGGGAGGCATGGGAGGGGGTGGTCCCACCACCCCCTTTGCCTCAAGCCCTTCGGTGGGACCCAGCGCTCCCGGGACCAAGAGGAGACTCCCCACCACGGCCAGTACAGGGCCAGCACAGACCCACCTTACCCCTTCACCTGTCCACTCCAATTCACAGGCCAGCTCTCAGGTCTAGTTTTGCCTCCTCCAGGAAGCCCTCCAACACCACCTCCTACTATCACATACCCAGGGGCTCTTGGCGCTCCTCCCCAGCCCTGGTAACAGAACCCCTGCGGGGGTTCTCTGGCTAAATAACAACCACTGTCCACTCTATGGGCTGAAGTGAGCACCATGAGGCAGGGATGGCGTCTGCGGGGCTGCAGCCACATCTGCCTCAGCATCTGGAACGGCACCTGGCACAGAGCAGGCGAGCTCTCTAGACCTTTGTGCAGCGAACAGCTGAAATCTCAAGCTTGACCTGGCCCTAGGTCAGAACAGGTGGCATTCCAGACACTCACCACCCAGTTTCAATACCTGACCCCATGGCCACCCGGAGCCTGGGGGTGGCCTGCTATGGACATTGGGCAAGGGCTTCTGAGTTGGACAGATCAAGTCCCTGACTTCTCTGTGACTCTGCTGCCTTATCCTCAAAGAAGGGATGACAATAGCTCCTCGATGACAGGTCACAGCTCATAGGATGGTGCTGGGGGCTGAGCAGAAGGGTAGGACCACCTCCAAGCCAGGTCGAGGACCCCTATGACAGGCACCACCCCCCGCCGCCCACCCAGTAGTCACCTTTCAGCCGCACGAGCTCATTGTGGCATTTCTTGCGCAGCTGCAGCTCCCGGCGGTACTTTCGCAGCAGCTCCTGGTTGTTGCTGTTGACCTCCTCGATGGCCTGGCCGATCTGGTGGGGGACACACAGCGCCATCCGGGGGCCAGCTCCACAGACTGCCTGCCCCCAGGCAGGCTGAGCACTGCCCCCTGCCCTGGGCGAGTCGTTGACATGTGCTGGCATGTGTCAGATTTTCCCAGTAACCCCTCTGGGTAGGTACGGCTACCAGTCCCATCTTACAGAGCAAGAAACTGAGCCCCACAGGGGCTAAGCCAATAGTTCAAGGTCACCCTGCTACACAAGCAAAGAGCCGGGACTCAGCCTCACTCCACAACACTTGCACTTGACTACAGATTCGGCTGAACCCACACCCCAGCTCTACACTGAGTAGCTGGGGCACCTGAGGCAACAGGCCCAACGTCTTCCAGCCTCAATCGATGGGGAAAATCATTTTCTCCTCCGTAAAATGGGGATAATAACACCACCTAGCTCGTGCATCTGTAGGAGCTGGTAGGTAAAGATCTCCAAGTGGCATTCCACGGGGGAAAGAAGCCAGGTGCAGGCCACACGTCCATACGTTGCCCTTGTGGGTAAGAGGGCAGAGACAGCGCCCCATTCCTCACGCCCACGATGTCCTGGGGGACATGCTGACGGAGAGGCCGCCTCCAGGGAGCGGGTGTCAGGGAGAGTCCTCTCCTTTTCATCCCATGCCCTTCTGCAGGGTCTGAACTTTCTACCACGTCCACGGATTATTGACACGGTATCTGAAAGAAGACCTGTTTTCTATTCCTAAAATACATCATCAGTCCGGGTGCCCTGCAGAGCCGTCACGCAGATTCAAGGAGCTGGCGGCTATAAAAGGCTCAGCACGTAGGAGGCACTTAAGAGACGCTGGCTATTCTCATATCAAACAAGCTCAGCTGGAAAAAAATTAAATGAACCCTAACAGATGTAAGGACGTATGTAGCATGTTGGGGTGAGAGAGTCATAATCAGATCAACGCCCAAATACCTGCCCCGGCCAGACGTTTTCAAAGGAGGTCTGGGGCGGCAGAGTGTGTGTGTGTGTGTGTGTGTGTGTGTGTGTGTGCGCGTGCGCTGGGGGGAGCTGTTGTCTGGGGCACTTGGTCCGCGTTTTGGAAGAGAGCCCTGGTGGGCACTGCCACTTCCCCAGGGCTCTGGGCTGCTCCCAGCCCCGCCCCCCATGGCCTGCACTCACCTCAGCCTTGACGCTCTTGAGCGCCTCCTGCAGCAGCAGGGGGAAGCCCCGCACCTGCCGCTTGAGCCCGTTGTAGTCGTTGGTGAGGGTCCGAAGCGCCGGCTGCAGCGTCAGCAGGTTGGTCCGGACGCCTGCGAGGGCAGGAAGGGTGTGAGGCGGGCAGGGCCGAGGGTGGCGACCGGGGGCGGGCCAGGGCCCCGGCGGCCAGCTCACCTGCCAGGTTCTCGTGCACGGCCTTCATCTCCACCTGGGCCCTGGCGAAGGCCTCCTCGATGGCCCGGTTCTTGTCCTCCTCCAGGCACTGCATCTCCTCCAGCATCTGCCCGTGCGCCCGTTCCAGCTCCGACTCGTACATGGCGATCTGGTGGCCAAGGCCGGGTAGCAGATCAACGCGGGGGCTTGAGCAGGAGGGGGCGGGTGCAGCTACTGCCCTGCGTCGCCCCAGCACCAACTCGGCCTACGACAGGGGCACAAGCCCCAGGGGAGCAGGAAGCCTGTTGGCTGTGACACTGACTACAGCGCCTTCGGAGAGCGCGTGTGCTGGGCTGTGAGAACAGCCTCCTGTGAGTCTGGCCCTGGGCCCCGCTGCACGGTGGGTTCTGCGGTCATGTCATTGCACAGAAAGGAGACTCAGACAGACTGACCCTCGGTCACACGGTCAGCGAGAAGAGGAGGAACCAGAGCCTGGGTCTGCTGCCCTGTCCCAGAGGCTGGCCTTGGCACCCGCCCCCCCCCCTCCCCGCAACCTGACAGCCACGCACACCCCCCCACGCGGCCGGCACACCTGCGCCCGGAGCTGTGCGGTCAGCTGGTGCGAGCTCTGCAGCTGCTGCTCCATCTCCTTCAGCACCTGCCTCTGCATGGCCACCTGCTCCTGCAGGTGCTGGTTCCGGGTCTGGGACTCGCTGAGGGCCTGCTTGGTCTTGGACGACTCCACCTCCACCGTCCTGATGACATACTGGGAGGGGAGAGGGGGGGCAGGTGCATGGAGGTGCGGGGCCCCTCGGCCTCACTCTGGGGCCCTGAGATGCGGCTGGCCTGGGGAGGGGACCCTCAGGGACATCCCACCAAGAGCCTGGAGAAAACTAGAGACGCCATGAGGTCCTGGCTATCCTGAATGCTGCGAGGGCCTCCCACAATCTCCTCGTCTTAATCAGCCCACTATGAGCCTGGCTGTGGCCCCAGCCAGGGCACAGGACTGACAGACGAGCAAAGACGAGGGCAGAATGGGGCGATGCCCTCCGTCCATGCCTGGCCCACAGCGGGCACATCCAGCACCGCTTGCCGGAGGCCTATCATGTGCCTGCCTGGCCCTGGGCGGCGAGGAGGGGAGGGCCGGAAACAGACCCAGCGCAGAGCTGGAACGCAGCCTTCAACCGTGCACACCCACTTCCTCACGCCAGCCCTGCCCCGGGGACCCACGGCCAGCCGGCCGAGCGCTGAGGCACAGTCCAGGCCGGCACGGGCTCTGCGCGAGGCCGCCAGACCGCGGCTCACCTTGACGGGCGGCGACTGGGCCCGCAGGCTGGCGATGGTCTCGTGGCTGTCCCGCAGGCGCCGGCTGAGCCGCTCCTCCTCCTGTGCCTTCTCGGCCAGGCAGTCCTTGAGCCGCAGCTCCACCTCGGCCAGCCGGTTGGTCTTCTGCTGCACCTCCAGGTTCAGCTCCGACAGCACGCTTTTGTTCTCCGCCACCTCCAGCTGCAGCTGCGACAGCCTGTCCCGGAGCTGGGCGCTCTCCTGCAGGCAGGAGACAGGGCCAGGATGAGCGTGAGGCGGGCAGGCGGGCAGAGGAGCAGGCGGGGGGGCACCGTGAGGAGCTGGGGTCCCCGCGAGGGAGGCGGCCCTCGGGGGGGAACCCCCGGCCCTGTGCTCGCCTGGCTGTGCTCGCAGCCCACGCAGGGGGCCCCCGGCTTGGCACGCAGCTCCTGAAGCTCAGCCTCGCAACGCCGCATCTCCTGCCTCAGTCGCTCATTCTCCACCATCAGCAGGTCCCGGTGCTTCTCCAAGTCTGTGCCTCCCTGCCGCGTCAGCCCAGGGGGGCATGTGGCCGGGGCAGATCAGGGGGAGCAAGGAAGGTGTGGGGGGAGAGTGGGGGGGAGGCGGGAGAAGGACAGAGAGGAGGAGAAAAGAGCAAGGCGGGTGAGCGGGGGAGAGGAGAGAGAAGGGACTCAAGAGGGAAATGAGGAAGAAGGCAGAGGAGAGAGAGATCAGGAAGGGTGGTGAGGCAGGCGCAGCTCCCAGCAGCACCCCACCCCTTTCCTTCTATTTTCCCGAGTGTGAAAGTAGCGAGAGCAGTCATATTTATACAGAGTTCACACTCCTGTTTTACTTCGGCAAGGGCGCATTCACCTCCCGCCCCTGGGGAGTCACATGACCTCTGAGGCCCTAGCGACCACGAGGGGTGATAAGTCCTCCAGGAGCATTTCCCAAACAGGGTGCAGCCCCCGCTCGGGCTGCACGGGCAGGTCACAGCCCTCGTCGGGAGGGGCCAGCCTACCCAGGGCCCCTCAGCCCCCACCCCATGCCGTCCCCCACCCCACGCCTGCCCCCCATGCAGGGTGCCTGCTGGGCCTCACCAGCTCTGACCGGAGGCGGCTCACTTCCTGTGCCTGGCCAATCAGCTTCTCCTTCAGGTTCTCCACCTGCCGGCACAAAGCCAGGGTCACCTCGAGCCCTGCTCCTCGCCTCCAGCCCGCACCCAGGCCCCGGCCCCAGCCCTCCCTGTGTTCCAGCGGCAGGCCACACCTGGGGCTCCAGGGGAGCGACACCTGGCCTGGCCCTGACAGCCTTCAGCCCCCTCTCCCACTGCAGGACCCCGTCAGCCAGGGCTCTCGGGAGAGTCTGGGGGGAAACGCTGCAGAGGTGACCCCCGTGCCACCTGGGGCTCAGGCCACAGGCAGCTCACCAGGAGACACAGGCCCCTGCCAAGGCCTGGGCCTACTTTTGTATTTGTAACTTTGTATTCTTTTTTCTTAAAGGGGCCCCCAAGCTGTATGAACGGTAGACACTCTGAAGCCTGGAGCCGTCCTGGCCCAGCCCCTAGAAAGTTCCACTCTGAGCAGTTCCTGGTGAGGCCGCCTGTGGGGACGGGGCTGCCAGCGACCAGGGCGCCTCTGGGACCCGCGACCACCCCAGCTCCCAGCCTGCCTTGCGGGAGAGCTGCAGCCCGATGAGGCCGTTAGCAAGGGAAGGGGGTCTGCGCCCCGTCGGGAGGCAAGGGTGCCCGGCTCAGCGGGGCAGGAAAACCAACCCCCCCCGTACCCCCCCAGAGCAGACCCCAGGATGGGACCCTTCCTGGGGCTGTCTTCTCGCTGGCCCCACATCAGGAACCTGCCCTTGGAAAAGAACCCAGAGCGCAGGCAGAGGCGCTGGCCCCGCACGGGCACGTCTGCCCGTGTCCTTGCAGAGCGGTCCGTGACGGCCGCCCCAACCTTGGGAAAGGAGCCACGAGAGTCGGACTCCTCGGCGGAGGCTTAGGAGCTGCGGTATACACAGCGGGCCCCGAACCACTGGGTTGTTATTTGTAAACGACAGGTGACAAGGTCGACTGCCCCCGGGGGCCAGCCCGCCAAGGCGGGTGAGGGGCAGTCCAGGGCAGGACACCCAAGATGCACCTGTCGGAGGCGGCCACCTTGTGTCCCTTGCAGCCAGGGGGACACAGGCTCCGTGTCGCCAACCTTCTGACCTTTCAGGAGAGGCCAGACATTGGGATTTCTTGGACGAGGGTGTGTGAGTATGTGTGTGTGTGTGTGTGCGTGTGTGTGTGGTCTCCCAAGACGGCTGAGCGGCCATCAGCAGTGTGGGGCAGGCAGACTTTCCCGCAGGAGAAAGCGGCTGAGCCACAGGTCGGGCCCCCGCCTTCAGGGCCGGCCGGGGGAGGAAGCCAGCCATGGGCTCCACTGGGCCTCTGAGGTGAAGGCCACGACACCCGGCCTACGCACTCATGGTTGGGGACGAGGGGTCCGAGACCCAGACCCAGAGAGGGGCTGGGAGGCCTGACCGGGCTGCCCAAGTCCTCCTGGCGGACAAGCAGGTGACCTGAGGGCACAGCCCGGTGACCACAGCACCAGGGCGGTCCCAGTGGGCTGCATTCCTAACAGCCCTCCAAGCAGTGTGCTGGGCCACGGACCACGCAGGCGGGCAGAGCTCGGGCCACCTCGCTGCACCCTCCCAATGCCCCCTCCTGCTGAGAGCCTGGGGGCCGGTGCTCGTCCCCTGGGCCCAGAGGGGGGGAGGGACAATTTGCACAGGGCGGTGTCTCATTCCTTAGCTGTGCAACCGGGACCCGCCTGCACACCCAGCCCTCGGGGAGGGCCCGGTTCTCCGAGGTGGGCGTGCACACAGAAGGTCTTGCACTCACAGCCTGTGTTCATCGGGAGTTTTGATGGACACGGGGCAGGGCCCCCCAACACAGTGAGGCAGAGAAAACCCGAAAACAAAACTCTGGGAGCAGTACCGAAAGGCCGAGGTCTCCAAACCATGACACTGTATTTGACCAATTCTTTATGCTTTTCACTGATTCTCAAGTCTCAGAGAATGTGTGTATTCTTCTCGAACTCCCTGCACCCTGAAAAGGGGGATCTACCTCCTGTGGAAAGGTTGGGGTCCCCTCACCCCATCGCCCTACCCCAGAAATCACCCCAGGGCTGCCCATCAGCAAGGAACCGGCGCCCCGGACAGGCTGCGTTCTCTGGGCTGGGTGCTCCGGCCTCCCTTGTCCCCAGCACGCTGCCTGGCCCTCAGCCCCTGGTGCAGTGCAAGTGGGCTTTTCCAGTGTTTACCTGGGGGATCGGGGTGCCCACCTGCCACCTGCCTGCAGCCCCGGCTCCTGCTGCCTTCTTGCGTCACAATTGGAGCCCTAGGTGCTCGTGGGTTCTACCTGGAACCCTGAGGGTCACTCCAGAAGGATGCGGCTGTACAGGGGGCAGAGGGCAGGGCTGCGAGAGACCCCTTTGGTCAGCGGTACCAGGCACTCGGTCATCCCCCCGCTGGTCCAGGGCAGCAGGGGACACGTCTCAACACTGCGGGGGTCAGTCCGGCGCAAACACTCCTTTGGGGCTGGGGAATTAGCACCCGTGCTGCCCAGGAGTGGGACCCTTGCCCCCCGCCGGGAGGGGTCTGCTTCAGGAGGGCTTTCGGGGAAGGTGCCTGAGGGTCAGGAAAACAATGAGCGAAAAGAGAGACACACACAGAGGTACCCACAGGAGGTCAGATGGGAACTGGCAGACAGGCTCAGGGCAGTGAAGGCAGAGAGTGGGGGGCTGAGGGTGAACCTCACCAGAGTGGAAGGACTCCCCCTGCACACACCCGCCACAGCTCTGCATCAGCCACGGTGCTCGCATCTGCAGGCCAAGAGGGGGAGGAGCCTCTCTACTGCTCATCACGCACCCCTGCCCCAGCAGGTGGCCGGCACATGGCAGATACTCAGCAACCGCTTCAAGCACCGGCAGAGGCGCACCCCCAGTGCAAAGCAGGCTCCTGACAGGCTGCTGTGATGGACCCCAAGACAGCTCAGTGTCAGCCCCAGGGCTGAGGAGGGGACCAGGCTGGGCCCGAGCCCAGGCTCCCCATCAGCCAGAGGAGCTGAATCAGGAGCCTGGTGCAGAGGGGCCTTGGAGGAGCCGGGACCTGGGGCCCAACATTTGTATCTCTTGGTGGAAGCGGTTCCGAAGAGGGCGGGACTGCCCTGCGCAGGCCTGTCTTCTCCACGCAGACAACCTGCTGTCCGCCTCCCACCGCGCTGGCCGGCCAGCAGCAGAGCGTCTTACGGGAACATGGGGCTCTCCCGGGATGAAGAGGAGGCCTTACTAGGCTGGGGAGGCCGGAGGGCCTGGGATCCATCGGGCCTCAGGGAAACAGCCCAAAAGCCAGAGGGGCAGTCCCAGGGAGCACCCCACCCTGCCCCCAACATACCCCACTCCCGGAGACCTGACTCGGGGCTCCGTGGCCACTGACCCAGCCTGACCGGCCCATCTGGCCCTGCCTCCACAGCAAAGCCTGTACAGTCGAGTCCTGCCACCAGGGGGCGGCGCAGAAACAAGCTCCCTGGCGAGAGCGCCCAGGCTGTAATGCAGACATCGCCCTGCCCGCCGCATAACCTCGGACAAGCCTCCACTTCGCCGCCCTTTGGCTTCCGCACCTGTATGATGGGGCCACGGCTCCAGGGGGCGGGGCGCTTGGAGCCACCAGGACGTCACCTGGGGCTGCTGTTGCTGCCAACGTCAGGGAAAGTCATCCAGACTAGCCACAGCCTCCCTTGGTGGCCAGACCAAGACCAGCGGCCTCTGTGGCCTGGGTCGGCTGGTGCTCAGGACAGAGAAGCTGACCTTTGGCCTGAGTGCTCCCCACAAGGAGCACACTGGGCGCCCCGCAAACACAAAGGTCTCCGTCAGACACTCAACCGGCGGGAGGCTGGAAAGTCGCAAGCAGCCCTCTCGAGCCCAGGCTGAGACAAGGGCTACTGCAGCCCCGGTCACTGAGTCGGCCTCACCAGCGGGGCGAGGGTACTCTGTCAGGTTGACACTTTGAACCCCCAATCCTCTGCAGTACATACTATTATTATCCCCATTTTACAGGAAGAAGAACTGAAGTTCCAAGAGATTGAATTAAGCCTTGGTTAAGCAACTTGCTCAAGGTGACCACTAGGTGGCGCACCTAAGATTGTAACTGAGGCCCCCCAGCAGGACCCTCCAGCAGGACCTCCCTGCAAAGCGCTCCCTCTTAACCACTCTTCACACTGCCTTTCAGGAGGGCAGCCCCGTTCAGGAGGTGAGTCTGCACAAGGCTGAGGACAAGGCACCGAGAGAACCAGGCGGCGAGTATCCTGTGGTGGGCTTTCCTTAGAGAATCAACATTGAGAAGACCAGGAAGGTCAAGGTCAAACCACAGCGAGGCTGACAGGGGACTGGAGCACGCAGGAGTGGCCCTCTCGAGGCACAGCGCTCTACAGTTTGCCATCCATCCCTCTGTCCAGGCTCACAAAGCAAACACTGATGGGCCCCAGGTTAGAGGCCGGGAACTGCAGCCCCAGGCAGGAAGTGACTTCCTGCGGCGGCACAGCCAGCGAGCGGCAAAGCCAGGACCGGAGTCCTGCCCTGGTGGCTCCCAATCCAACGTCCCCCCCCACCCCCCCAACCCCGGTAACGATGGTGCCGATGGCAGTGCCACCTGTAGCCCTGGGTCATCTCAGCGGGTCCCGCACCGTGCGGATGAGGAAACCGAGGCGCAGAGCAACGACGAGCTAGTCCACGGCCACACTGCTCCCGAGTAGTGCCGAAGTCAGGATTTGAACCCGGCTCCAGGCCCGCAGGGCTGGCCACCGTGCCCCAGGGTAGGACCCTCCGGGTGGCGGGGGCTCAGGGACTGCAGCTCAGGTGCATCCGCTGAGACCCTGTCCGGAAAGGGCCGGCGCTCTCAGAGGGTCTGAGGATAAACCGAAGTGAGCGAAGAAGACCGGGCGCTGTTCCAAATTCTCCGGGTCGGCCAGGGCAGCGGGGGAGGGGCGGGGGGAGTCGGGGGCTTGGAGACACCAGAAAGGCTTCCACACTTCACCTTCGGCTTCCCCTCGAAGAAGCAGATTGTGCGAACTAAGGGCAAAAATGTTTTTTTTTAAACTTACTCAAAGTCACAAAAGGCCATGTGATATTATGATTTCATTTACATGAAATGCTCCCAAAAAGGCAAATCCATAAAACAGACAGCAGATCAGCGGCTGCCAGGAGCTGGGGGGCGTGGGGTGGCGGTGACTGAATAGATCTTTCTGGGGTGACGAAAATGTTCCACAATTCGCCGGCGGTGGTGGTGGTGGTGTCACCACCTGAACATACTTAAACCACTAAGCCGTACGCCTCCAAAGGGGTGAATTTTATGGCAAGCGAGTTATATCTCAGCAAAGCTCTTTGAAAACAAAGCGGCATGTCTGAACAGCGAGGAGCCTGGCCGGCCTGGCCTGCGGCAGGTCAGGGAAGGCAGAGCTGCTGAGGCTGGCCACAGGCCCGGCGCGTGTCCCGGGGTGTGTCCTGCAGGCCGGGCCGCGACGGCCCCACCACCCCACCGCCTGCAGTCAGTGCCCCACGCTGCACCCCAGCTACCCAGGCCTTGGTTCCGCCTTCATGCAGTCGGCCCTCCCCTCCATATCCTCGGGTTTCACATCCTGGGACTCAACCGACCTCGGTTTAGAAATACTGGGAAAGAGCCCCGGCTGGTGTGGCTCAGTGGATCACGTGCCGGCCTGCGAACCAGCGGGTCACCGGTTCAATTCCCAGTCAGGGCACGTCTGGGTTGCAGACTGGGTCTCTAGTGCGGGGCATGCAAGAAGCAACCACACACTGATGTTTCTCTCCCTCTCTTTCTCCCTTCCTCTCTCTAAAAATAAATAAATAAAATCTTTAAAAGTAAAAATAATAATACAAATAAAAATATTGGGAAATAAAAATCCAAAAAGTTGATCCTATAACAACTATTCAGGCAGCATTTGCAGCATTTGTGTTAGGCACTCTAACTGATCTGGAGCTGATTTAAAGTCTGTGGGAGGAAGGGTGTAGGATCTGTGCAAACACTAAGCCATTTCATAAAAGGGACTTGAGCATCTGAGGACCCGGGGGTCCCCAGGGAGGGGTGGGGGGGCTGTGTGTCCTGGCACCAGTCCCAGTGGACACCAAATGCGCTCACTCATCTTGCTGCCCGGCCACAGTCCCTTTGCACGGACCCGCTCCCTCAGCGCAGAGCACATCTCCTCTGCTCTGTGCCAGGCCACAGCTCCAGTGTCACCTTCTCAAGGCGGCCACCCCTGACCTCCGGACAAAGCTCCCGGCATGGCCCCCACGCCCTGTGCGTGTGCCCACCCCCAGAGCCCTCTGCACTCCTCCTGGCACGGGTGCATGTAACCAGCGTGCACCCTCCCCAGACCGAGGCCGTGCAGGCGAGGGCGCACCCGTCTCCCTGGGCACCCCCCGCACTCAGCTCGGTGCCGGCACCTCCTGGGCAGCCAGCCAGCACCTGCAGGAGGGAAGGGGGCAGGTGGGCGCCTCAGGGGCCAGCGGCGGTGCAGAGCTGCTGCGTCACACCTGCCCGGAGCAGCCCCGGTCTGAGGGGCAGACGGGCCCAGAGGCAGCAGACAGCGGTGTCTGCACACACGAGGGAGGCACGGGCACTAGGGACGCCCAAGCAGGGCCACCCAACTCAGCGAGGGACAGGTCGTGGTCAGGACACACAGTTCCTGAGAAGAGGACACGCCCCTCAGCTGGAAAAAAAAAACACTGCCTTTAGAAAGCACATAAAGAGACTACTGCCCTCCAGAACTGAGCACGAGTCACAAGTCCCAGTTTCCAGGGATGGTCAGTCCGGAGAAGGGCCACAGGCGGCGCGTCCCCAGGGAAAGAACCTGGCTCCGCCCAGAGGCAGCGCTTTCCACAGGGCAGACCAGGTCCAAGGCAGCGATGAGGGGGCAGATGGGGCTAGGGGCCTGGGGAGGGGGGAGGGTCAGACACAGGCACGGAAGACAGACAGGACAAGGGGAGCGGGAGCTAAGCCCGAGGGGAGGGGCCTTGCAGCCCACGTATGGGGGACGGAGAGAATGAAGCAAGGGCTGAGAGCCCCCAGGGGTCCTCCTGGCCAGTGAACGCAGAAGACGATGCTCACGGCGGAAACCTTCGGCTCTCCCTGACCCACAGAGGCCGCAAAGCGCCCTCCTCCCGGGCGCACGCACACCAGCCTCTCCCTGCCTGCCCATTTTCTGTGGGGTGACCTCTGCAGTGACTTTGGTCCCCTCGGGCTGCGAGCAGACAGGGTGAACTCAGGGCGGGCAGCGTCCCTGCCCCCTCCTGCTCCTCTCACGTCTGTACACACTGCCGGATGCTCTGGAGCGGTGGTCCTGGTCTCTGGGAACCACAAGGAATGCGGCACAAGGGTGACCAGGATGGGAGTGCCAGGACTCCGACTCTTGCCACCTTGCATTCCCAAGCCGGGAGAGAAGAGCCCAGCTGTCCATTATGCCTGTGGCCTGGTGGGTTCCAGGTGGCCCAGCCGGTGTCCTCTGACCTGCTCCGTGGTGGGAAGCGGCCTCTGGCCCTCCCACCCTCCCCGGGTACCTGGTTCTGCAGCTGGGTGGGTGTGGTTTGCGGGTCACTGTCCTGGAGGGCCAGCCTCTCCCGTAGGGCCGCCAGCTCCTGCAGCCGGGCTTTCTCCTCCTGCAGCTGGGACATGGCCTCCACCATCTTATGCACCATGGGGACCGCACCTGGGGACCCCGACAGGCTCGAGCACCTCCCGCTGCCAAACAGCAGCCCACCTATGAGCAAAGTAGGGGCCGGTCAGCGGGGCGGCAGAGGGTCCACCCTGGCTGAGGCCGGGCCGACCGGACCCTCAGGGCGATCGAGGGAGGGGACACAAGCAGAGGGGGCGGGGTGGGGCGAGAGCCAGGGGGCAGCCGAGTGGGGGAGCCACAGGACTCCAGGGCCTGCCTGGGAGGGAGTCACTTCGGCAGGGCGGCCCCAGGGGGAAGGAACTGCCTGGGTCAGGACTCAGGAAAGCAGCTTTCCCCGAATGCTCCCTTCAGAGCACGGGCTCCAGGTCCGGCGGGCGGCACCCTCTCCGCGGCCAGCCTGCCAGCCCCCGAGACTGAGGAAGAGGTGCCTTCGCCAGCAGCTGAGGAGGCGGGGCTACCTCCCCAGAAAGCCCTATGCTTGGGAGACAGGATTCCTTTAAACGTCAAACCCTCTCCAGAGGGGAGAAGAGAGGTGGGGGCTCCCCAGAATGCCCCCCTCCGCCCTCCACAGGGCGTGGTCACCTGCACATGGAGAGGGAGGGCGGGGAGGGTGTGCCAGGGACAGGCAGACCCGAATGCAGAGACAGACAGACACAGCACGTGGACAGGCCCACAGACAGGCCCACTCGCGCGCGGGGTGAGCACAGGGACCGCCGCACAGGCAGGGGGACGGGTCAGTACCAGGGCGGGCCGACTCCACCCGAGTCCCGCCACCGCCTTCCCCTGTCCTGTCACTGGAGCAGCAGAGACACAGACAGGCAGACGGGAAGGACAGAGACACAGAGCCACTGCCTGGGACCCAGGGAGGAGGCTCGCCGGAGCTCGCTTCAAGGGCACCGAGAATGGCCCTGGTCTCTGTGGGTGGGGAGCTGGCTAGGAGCTCTGGAGGGGGAACAGAGTCAAAGGTCAAAGCCCCCCCCCCAGCCCCGGAGAAAGAAGGAAGTGTCCAAGAACAAAGCGTCTGAGAAGGAAGCGGGGGAGAAGCACCTGCTGGCCCCTAGCCTCCACTTGACCTCAGAGCCCTAGGGCTTCTGGGTGCCCCCACCAGAGGTCCCAGAGCTGCAGCCCTGAGGGCGGGACTGGGGGCCCCCTGAGTCTGTGAAAGAAGCCGCCCGCACCCGAAGTCACACACCCCGCCGGCAGCTGCGACCCACGGGAGGCAGCGAGTATGCTCACCAGGACCTCGGAGAAGCCACACGGCAGCCTGCGCCAGTGGGGCGGGGCGGGGAGGGTGGAGGGGGCAGGGGCCCCCGAGGGGCAGATCCTCTCGGCTCCAGCCACAGGAGGGGCAGGCAGTGAGGGGTCCCCACTCCCAACCCCTCGGAACAGCTTTGACTCCAGACCCTCTAGAGAGCTGGAGCAGGGGCAGCCGTTGGTTGGCTAGTGGCCCTACCCATGTGGCCTGCGTATGACCCAGCTGCATGTCAGGCACAGCTGGCCGAGCTTCTGCGGTGTTCTAGAGAGTGAGGTCAGACGGATGCTTCCAGGCCTGCCCACGGGGCTGCCACCCGTGGGCGGCATGTGACGGACATGGCCCTCAGCCCTCTGCAGACTGCTGGGGGGGCGGGGGCAGGGGGGGGGAAGAGGGTTGCCCTGGGCTCTGGGGAAGAGCTGCTTCTGCCACTGAAGAGACGTGTGGGAGAGGCCCCTTAGGGTTCACAAAACGAGGACAACAGTCCATGCCCAGAGAGGCACCCCTGGGACAGGAGCCTGGATGCCATGAGCCGGTGAGAGTGGGTGCTACCCAGCAGACATGGAGTACAGCCCTGCTCGTCCAGGACGCGGCTTGTATCACAGAAGGTTCAGCGACACCCTCAGAGCCCACGCCCGGCGGGGTCCACCCCGACTCAGCAAACACGCTGTCCGTGCGCCGGGGCAGCCCAAGGGCGCCTGGAGCGTGCTCGCTGGGGGAGACAGGACCCTGAAGAAGCTAAGGGACAGCGGAAGAGCAAGGGGCACTTGGAGACAAGCTATGGAGCCGGCTCTTACACAGAGGAGGCCACACACCTCTTAGCGGGTCACTCTCTAAACAGAGCGTGCCTCGGAGACCCGCCTGGGCACTGCCCCTCGCGGGCCCCGCCCTGGCCCCCTGGACAGAAGTCAGTCCTCGCTCTGGACTAAAAGTGGCCTCTCTCCTCTCCTCTCCTCTCAGCCAATGAGGACAGGCCACCTGCCTGGCTGGGCGAGGCCCCCCTCCCCAAGGCCTGTCTGCCCAGGGCTTGGCCAGCCCCCCGGCACCTGCCACAGCGCACCCGAGTGCCGGCCCAGACGGGCGACCACGGCTCAGGCACAGACTCCCAGGGGGGATGAGACGCTTCCACCGAGGGGGGCAAGTGCAGACCACAAATCAGCCTCCGGCGACAGGAGGAGGGAAGCAGAGAAAGGCCGACCCTTTCTTTCCACACCCTCCTCGCCTCCTCCTCGGGCTCCTCCAGGGTGCTGCCTCCTTCCCAGTGCCGCAGGGCTCAGGCTTCCCCCTGGGGACTCCCACAAAGGGGGCCCTCAGCGTCCTCCAGAGCCAGCCTGCCTTGCCAGAGGAGAGCGGAGCCGCCAGCTCCCCTTTCTCGGCCTCCAGGCAGCAGGGTGAGGCCCTGTCCGAGAGTCCCTGGGTCCCCGGTGGGCCCACGGACACGAGGGGAAGCGGTCGGGCCGCTCTCTGCGGACGATGGCATCTCTTCCCCATCGCCCTGCTTTGGATGGGCGCTGGGGAAAAGACAAAAAGCGGGGAAATTCAACTCCAGCCTGTGCTCGCCAAAGCCTCTTATCACCGAGCGGGCCCGGGTGGCTCTGGAGGAGGGTGTGCCAGGGGGAGGGGCGGGCAAGGCTGGGGTCTCTGAGCTCCACGTCACGGCGCCCAGGGTTTGGACAGGTGGCCTCCGGGGGAGGAGGACAGTGCGTGGGGACGGCTCAGCTGCCCGGAGCCTCCCCTCCCGCACCAGCTGCAGCGGGCACCGTCCCCGGTCAGTGGGCAGACAGACCGCCTTTACCTGGTTTCTCTACATTCATGGTGCCACCGGCTTCCTGGGCCTCCCGGGCCCGCCTGGGGGCCAGCGCCGGCCTCTTCGGGGGCTTCTCGTCTTTCGTCCCCTGACTCTTGCTCTTGCACCCCTTGTCTTGTGGGGCCTGCTGCCGAGACATAACCAGAGTCCTCGCGTGAAGGGCGCTGCCGTGGGGAGGGACCCGGGGAGCCTGAGGACGCTGCATCAGCCCCGGCCCCTTGGGCCACCCCTCCCTGTGCGAGTCGGTGGGGACTGGCGGGTCTGGAAGAAAACGTGCCCAGCTCCCACGGCAGGACAGGGGGAGTGGCTCCCCCGGCCCCATCAGCAGCCGGCCCTCTCCGCCAGCAAGAAAGGTTCTTGGGCACTCAGAAATCCTCAGGTAAGCCCTGGCCGGCGTACCTCAGTGGATTGAGTGCAGGCTGCGAACCAAATTGTCGCAGATTCGATTCCCAGTCAGGGCACATGCCTGGGTTGCAGGCCACGGCCCCCAGCAACCGCACATTGATGTTTCTCTCTCTCTCTCTTTCTCCCTCCCTTCCCTCTCTAAAAATAAATCAATAAAATCTTAAAAAAAAAAGAAATCCTCAGGTAGTGCCCGCCTGGCCCAAGGGTGCATGAGCCACCAGTGCAGCCGCTCACTTGCGCAGGCCCACAGCCCCGCCGGGCCGGTGGCCAACACAGGGCGACCAGCCCCCCGTGAAGTCAACTGCCCCCACCTCCCAACGGCACCAGCCTGCCAGCGACGGGGCACGCGGGTCCACGCAAGCAGAGGAAGGTCACGGCCCACCCCACCGGGGCCCACTGGGGCCCCGGAGGAACCAAGGCAGAGAAGGCTGGGCAGAGAAGATGGGGGGGGGGGGGGCCGGCGGGGCAGGGAAGGGGAGAGGCAGAAAGTCATCCCTGCAGAGCGCACGACCCCCAGCTTGCACAGGCAGCCGTGTCCGAGGCGGGACCCTAGCATCCGGCACGATCCCGTTTGAGGATAAGCCAAATAAAACACACCTCAGAAAAGCAGTCTGGGAACTCTGAACAGAGAACGGGTCTCCCCGGGAGGCCCGGCGAGAGGAGAAACGTGCAGCACTGAGACTCTTTGGAGAGTAAAAAAAAAAACAGAGAAGGTGGGAAGGAAGGTAGGGAGACTCTGCATTTCATTCTGAACCTTGTCGGCATTTGGTTCCTTAACCTCACAAACGTCGACAGTTTCTGCTTTGTTCCTGAACACAAGTCACCCGGGAAGAGAGGCTGCAGGCGTGTCCTGCGTGTGCTGCGTGTCCCTGGGCCCGCCATCATTCCACGGAGCCGTGGGCCGCGGCTTTGAAAACACCCCACGTCTCGAGTCGGGGAGGCCTGGCTGGTCCTTGCCTCCGGGGAGCTGGGTGGCTCTGGGCAGGCCCCCTTCCTTCCCTGACGCCTCGTTCTCCCCATTTTTAAAGTCGAAAAGATACTGACCACCCACCTCACGGAGCTGGTGAGTGTCAAAGGTGACGGAGATGAGACCCTAAGCCAATACTCAAAGTGTCTGCACCTGGGAAGAACTCCACATGGGCAGGTAGCATTATGATTTCCGGAGTCATCAGATCTTTCACTTTTATCATCGCAAAGCCAGTGAAGGGAGCTGAGAAGACGTGAAGAGAGACATCACCAGGCCAGTGAGTTCGCCGTCCTCCACCCTCTCTCAACCTCACGTACTGCCTGACCCGCCCCCCCCCCGTCAGGCGGTGGGGGGGGGGGGCGCAGCGCCCCATCTCTCATTGTCAGGAAAACGCTGGCAACCTCCTTTTGTCCCCACCCTCCGACCAACTGCCACCCCAGCACCAGCAGGCTTGTCGGCGGTGGCGGCAACGGCCCCAGCAGCTGGAAGTTTCCATTTGCCGGCCAGAGCAAAGGTCACACTATTTCTGGCCTGTGGGCCAAGCCGCAGGAAGGGCAGCCGGCCCCCAGGGGGTTGGGAATTTCTGCAGTGCCTCCTCCGTGGGGACCGTCTCGGGTTTAGCTGTGCGAGAGGCTGGCGGGGAGGGCCACCACGCCTACGGCCACCTCCCCGAGCGTCTGGGTCCCGGACTTGGGCCCCACGCCCCCGACCTCCAAGACCCCACGAACACAACAGGGCCCCGCAGCACCCAGAGAGACGCGATTATGGAACGGTGGCTGCCGCCCGGAGCGCCCCAGGGCTCCGCCGCGGCAGATCTGCTGACCCCGGGACTCGGCGGCAGCCACAGCCCGGCAGGCACCCCGTAATCAAGACCCAGGAACAGAGCCGCCGCCCCGCTCCGAGCCGCCAGTTTCTGACCACCGCCCGACGAAACCACCAGTGGCTCAAGTCGGAGAGGAAGAAAAAAAAAGGCTTCTCTGGTTTCTTTAACCGTTCTCGCACCGGACCGGCTTTTCTCTCAGGACTTGCTGACAGCGGGCCGTTCGGGTCCGTTTTCAGACGGACCGCAGAAGAAGGACCAAGAAACACCTCAGAGCCCGAGACCGTCTCCGACGTGGCGTCGCGCTCTGGGCCCACATTCAGACAGAGACGCAGGGCCAGACGCCGCCACCCGGGACCAGGGCTTCTGTCTGTCTGTCTGCACGCGGGAGGGTGGGCTCCAAGGGCCGGCGCGTGTCCCTTGCCCCATCCCGCCCTCCGTGCGCACAGGCCCTTCCAGGTGGGCCCCCTCCTGCACGCCCTTCCTGGGCGAGGGGGGCTTGCAGCACACCCGGATAACTCCGCTCCCCCGTCCTCCGCCTCTGCGTCCCTGGCCCTTGCCCGTTCGCGCTCCTACATCTGTGATCACTGGATTACTCTGCGGCACCTCCGCCAGACTCTCGGGCCTGGGTCTCTTCTCTGCTGCGTGTCAGCACCTAGCGCGGCACCCGGCACAGAGTGTGTCAACCAAGGCGCACACTGACCAAGTGCAGAAGCCGTGCATCCTAAATCACTCGACACTGTAGCTGCACCGATGCATAGACTTTAAGGAGCTCACTGCAGTCGGAACTAATGCAGAGGGTCAGTTAGAAAACTCATGGTAAACCCCGAAGTGGAATATTACGCGGCAGTTTAAAAGAATGAGGTGGTTGTCTAAATACTGACGTGTGTGAAGAAAGCACTGAGAATTACTGTTGCAGGAAGGAGTGAGCCACAGTCTAGTATGTGAGAGTAAATAATTTAAAAATGTATACATATAATTAAGTGGTTATACAGGAAAGATAAACACTGAACTCTGAATAATGGATTTCTCAGCCCTGGCTGGTGTGGCTCAGTGGATTGAGTGCCAGCCTGCAAATCAGAGGGTCGCTGGTTCGATTCCCAGTCAGGGCACATGCCTGGGCTGTGGGCCAGGTCCCCAGTAAGGGGTGAGAGAGAGGCAACCACACATTGATGTTTCTCTCCCTCTCTCCCCTCCTTCCCCTCTGTCTAAAAATAAATCAATAAAATCTTCTTTTTTAAAAAAAGTGAATAGTGGATTTCTCAATGATACAGGACTATGGGAGGCATGTAGTTTCTAGGTATTACATTTCTGCCCTGTGCAAATTCTTTATATCACACGTTATAAAGCTTGTCATATTCAGTGGTTCAGATCCCAGCTTGCTGTGTGACCAGTAGCAAGTTACTTAACCTCTCAGAGACTCCATGACTTCATCCACAAAACTTAGAATAAACAGTTACTGTATCTTGAGATGGTCAGGAGGACTGGTGTGGGACATACAATACGTGGTACGGCGCCGGCACAAAGTCGTGCTCAGTAAACAGGAGCTATTCTTGCTGCTCTCATTCTGTATGATTTCTACAACCAGATACACATGCCAGGTTTGTCTTTTGAAAGTCCCTTGGTGACAACTGCAAGAGAAGAGGCCCCGAGTGTTGGCGAAGCCCTCTGTCCGGCTTCGGGTGCCCGCTCTGAAGGAGCAAATGCAAGTGCTGTCCTGCGGTCTCACACGTCCGAGCAGGAATCAGCTGCCGCCCTCGAACCTGCCAGCGTTCCTAACAGCTTCTCAGAGAAGGCCCGCAGTTCCCACCTTATGCCCCCAGCCAGGGTGTGGCTGAAAAGCTTCTGCCACCTCCTGAGATTTCCCCGGAGATAACCTAATAGAGCAAATTGCCCCATCCGTACGGGCGCGCGGGCGGATGTGCCGCGAGGAGCTTGGCAAAGAGGCACCAAGGCAGGTCCCTGGCTCTCCCTCTGCCTCTCCTTCCACCCCGGAGCCTGTAGGGACCCCGTTGCTGAAGCTCAGAGGAACCAGGCACCCCTGCCTGGCTGGGGCTGGACCCGTCACGTGTTAGAATCCCCCGGTGCTTACCTGCACGCTCAGGTAGAGCCGGCGGGGGCTCCCGGGGCCCGCACAGTCCACGCTGAGGGCTCGGCACTGAGCTAGGGCCGGACGAGCCGCACTTCGAGCACCAGATTCTTCATCACCGCCGGCCGGGGTGTCTCTTCCACGCCCTGTCCCGGGACAGGAAAGATAGGTGAGGCGCTCTGGCTGCTGGTCACGGGCCGCTGGGCAGGGCCGCGGCTGAGCTCGGCTTGCACAGGCTCCAGCCAACCCAGGGGCGGTGAGGAGGGACGCACATGCTCCCACACGCCTGCCCTGCACGGAGGGAAGCCTGGCACCGGGCAGGGGCTGAGCTCTCTTTGTACCAAAAGCCACTCCAAGGTTCTCTACAGGAGGGCACCCAAGACCCTCGGGGACTCCCCTCCCTCCATAGTGGCTTTGGCGCTCCCACTTGCTCATGAGCACCCTCTGCAGAGAGCAGCAGAGGAAACCTTGCCAAGCTAGCTGTGCTAATTAATCATTCGAGGTGCGCCCTAGGGCCACGGCTTTATTACCCCGGCTGCCTCTAGGTGGCAACTTCTCCCCTGCCTTCATGAAGGCCAGCCCCACGCTGGGTGGCCTGTTCCGTGCGACCTCCGAAAGCACACTCAGGGCTGACCAGCTCAAGTGCGTCCTTCGTGCCGCCAACACGTCACCGGTCTCGCCAGATGCGGGAGAGGGCTGACTGTGGCGTCCACACCCCTCCTGTGGCGTCCATCCCAGCCTGTGGGGCCGCCGGGGTGGCAGGGGGCTCGCCTCTCACAGGGCAAACGGTCACCACCCTGGCCTGTGATGATACATATCCTGAATGCCAGCCAGGGGCCAAGAGCTTTCCAGGCCTTACTACTACCCTCTTGGATCCTCAGTTTCCTCGTCAATGAAATGGGATAAGGAACCAAACTCACGGTCCTGTGCTGAGGACAAAATGCAGGACCCACACGAAGTGCTCGCACAGCGCCAAGTTCCCAGAAAGGTGGGGGCCCGCGGTCAACCAAGTTGGCAGAGACCCCACCCGGTGGCAGGCACTGTGCGTAGCTTTCCACACACCGGGTTTCACTTGACCTTGGTCTCAAAGTTAGAAAGTGGGTAAAAGCCTGTGTAGGCACAGAATCCTCCTAACGCTCATCTGATAGACCTACGTGCACACACGCATGCACACAGGCGTGCACACACACACACACCAGAATGAGAAGGATGATCTACAATGTTTAGTGACGAGCTTAAATTGGTGTCATTTTACTGTGCTCCACAGAGTCTGTGCTTTTTACAAATCGAAGGCAAGACCCTCCACCAGCAAAAAGATGAAGACTTGCTTTACGGCAACAGCTATAAAAGTCTGGAACCGAACCCGCAATATCTCCAAGATGTGCCTATTTTTATTTTTTTTTATACTTTGTTTGGGGTTTTTGTTTTTTAGTTTTGCAAGGGCACATGTGTTTTGCTTCTTCTTGTTGTTGGGTTTTTTTTTTAAACCAGAAAAGCAATACTTGTTTCAATTCCATTTGTAACACTCAGGACAGTCTTGTGGGGTAGAGGACAGCTTCAGCCCCTTCCAGACGACAGGGGCTACCCAGCCTCAGAGCCCAAGCTTTCCCTGGAGGCCCCCAGGGTCATCCCAGCCTCACTGTCCCCCACAGAGAGACCTTGGAGGGCATCACTCTGGCTGCCACTAACAGCACAAATGTGCTGGGAGGGAGGGAACCAAAGAGGAGTTTGCTGCGTGCCCTTCCTGGGCCTCAGTTTCCTTTTCTTTACATGTGCAGTCCTGGACCCGAAGGCCAGGAAAGATTCTGCTAGCTCAGACAGGCCGGCGATCCAGCCCTTTCCCTGCAGATCAACAAGAGACAGCAGACACCTCTCTCCCCTGACACTTCCAGGAAGGCCTGCCCAAGCCAAACTTGGGAGAGAGGGTCAAGGGCAGCTCCCCAGCCCTGGCAATCCAGACAATCCAGCCCCAACCCAGAATCAGAGCTGCTGCTCACTGCTGGACGTGGGAGGCACCAGGGGACATGACCCAGAAAGGAGAGCTGGTGTTGACAGTTCCCCCAGGGGGGCAGCGGGGGGCCCAGACTCCGGTACTCCCTCCCTCCCCACCTGCTGTGAGGGTCCCTAGTAAAACCACCCGAATGGCCCTGAAAACCGAGCACACAGCACCCAAACCCCGACAGGCCCCCGCTCGGGAGCAGCCTCAGTCCACTCCTCCCGCCATCCGCGGGCCAGCCCAGGCAGGATCAAGTGTCAGCGGCGCGCAGGGAGCCGGGCAGCCACCTCACCTACCTTGTTTACCAGCCGCGGGCAGGAACGGAGGGAGACCCCGAGCGCTCCGCCGAGGACCCGCGGACCGCAGAGCTACCCCCGACCCGGCTCCCGGCGGGGCCGGGACCGCGTGGCAGTTGGCCGCGCTCTGCCCCTGCTCTCGGGGCTGCGTTAGAGTGGAACTCGGCGCCCGCGCCTTCTCAGCACAGGCAGCGCAGGGCAGCAGCCGCGGCGAGATTGACGCCCCGGCTCCACGCCCCGCTCGGCTCGCCGGCCGCCGGACCCTGTAATTTACCTGACAGCTCTGACGGAGCCTAGGAACTTGCGAGAAACCTCGCTCTCATCTCTGGTATCAGGAGGAAGGAAGGGAAATAAAGAGGCATTTTAAAAATGCGGACTCACCAGTTCTCAACCTCCCTGGGCCGGTGTGTGGGAAAGGGCGGGCGGCCGGGCTGGCTGGGGCGGGGCGAGCCATCCCGGGCTCCGGCTCGGGCTCCGGGGCCCGGCCCACTCTCCACAGGCCGCGCAGCGAGGGCGTGGCTCCCAGGTTCCAGGTCCGGCGAGACTGGACCATGGCCCGGGGCTCAGCAGCCTCCTCCGGGCCCCCGGCAGCCTGCGGAGACAGCAAGGGGGGAAGAGATTGAAGACGGCTGGCCTGGCCGGAGCCGGGACCTGGAGGATCCGCACCAACTCCCATGTCCCCCAAGGACCCCAGGGCTCACAGGAAAAAACAGGGCCCGTCACCACTGGGGCAGGGAGGCTCAGAAGGGGGCAAGGAGCCCATGGGGTGTGTCTGCAGCACAATGTGGAGATCCCACTCTCGGCTCCTCCACTCCGAGCCTGGCAGCTTGAAGACTGGCCAGGTCACAGCCCCACTCGGAGGAAGTGTGAGTCAAAGGCATCTCTGCAAATCTAATCAGGAGGGGCCCTGACGGTTGCCAGTGACCAGTTAGGTTTATATATCAAATTCTCCGCAAGTCAGCTCATTCATGTATTCAAACTACAACGCAGCAGGCAAGGAGTTGAGATACAAAGATTCATTCATTCTTTATTTAATTATTATTTATTGAGTGCCTGCTGTGTGCCAAGCACCTGCCAGGCGTCCTCTTTGATCAGGAGAAACACGGCCTCAAAGCTCCCTGTGGGGAGGGAGGTAAACCCTTGACAAACCTCCACAGTCACACCAGGCTGCAAGGAGGCCCCAGGGCTCTGGGAGAACTGGGGGGTGGGGGAGGTTAGTGGGGGGTACAGCCCAGACAGAAAGCCCCATAGATCCCCTATAAACCGAGCAAATGAACAGAACAGACTTCCTGTGTTCACTGCACAAATTTTTATTGAGCACCTATTGTGTGCAAAGCAGCCTGGAGGGCATTTGAGGTGACCAAGCTAGACTCTCAGACTTAGGGACTCTTGGCGTCAATAGTAACGCCATTTACAGAAGAAGGCTAGCAAGCCCAGAGAGGCAACGTGGAGTTTGCTTTTGATTTTCAAGTGGAGTCGGAAGCACCCAAGGACTTCTTACTGGTTCTACCTGGGTCGAAGACCCCTTTCCCTGCCTGCCACTGCACTGGCTGCTTCCTACCAGGCAGCAAAGGTATCTATCTGAACAGTGTCCTTCTCTCCTGATCCCCTGTGGCTCGCTGCCAGGGGGAAGCTTGCAGCCCCACAGCACCCAGCCCAGAGCTACAGCTACATCCACACCAAATATCCAAGCGATGGCTTCTTGGCTGAACAACCCAACATAAGCAAACGCAAAGGCCCGGAAAGAAGCTTGGAAGAGAGCAGGGCTGAGTACGGACACTCAGGGTCATGCAAACAAGAGGCAACCAGGGTGGGAAAAGAGTCCGCTCCGGGAGGGAGGACAGCTGGAGGCGGGAGGGGGCGGGAGCACCAGGCAGGCGCAGAGTGCTCAGCGGAGACCCGTGATTAGGAAGGAGAGGATGGTCACTTCCCAGTGACCCATGCCACAGAGAGGGCGAACTGGGAGGGAGCCCCTGGGGCCCCTCTAAGGGCCAGTGTCCATGGAGCAAGGCAGGGGGCAAACGAGGGGTGGGCAGGGGCTTCAGGAGCCACCACTTCCTTCTGTCCGGGGAAGCTGGGCTGGGGTGGGAAGGAGAGGCTGCACTGAGAGCCTGTGGTGCTGAGAAGCCATTGGGACGTGTTAGGTCGCAGAGGGGAAGGAATGAGGGAAGCATCCAGAGAAAAAAGAAGAGTTCAGGGACAGGTGGCCTCAAGACACGGTGACTGATGTTCGCAGAGCTGAGCCCTGGAAGGACGCCAGACTCCTGACTAGGGCCTTCCTTGACCGAGGGAGACAGCTTGCAGGAGGGGGCTCCCAGGTGCAGTCTCCCTGCGGGGGGGGGGGGGGCAGGACTGGGCCCCAGGATGGCGTGGAGGCTAATCCGACTACGCAGGCCGGCTCCACTGAGGAACTGGAGACCGGGGTGGGGGAGGGGAGTGGGCGACCAGACAGCCTCTTCTCCAGGCTGCTTGGCACGGAGCCGGGCACACAAGCAACCCTAATGCCCAGCTACCCCGCGATGGGCAAGGAGAAGAGAGACGGGCTCCGTCTGCATGCTGAACGGGGCGTTGAACGTCCATTCCCCGGCTGAGGGAAAAGACTTTTAAGGAGATCAGCTAAGTCCGAGGGGCAGGGACAGGAAGAGACAGTATTTCTGTGGCTTTGTGGAAGGGAAGTCAGGGAGGCAGCCAGGAAGACATCAGGAAGAAAGGGGAAGGGTGTGTGCAAGATCCTGAAGAGGAAAAAGCAGCTGAATTTAGCACACAGCGTAAAGATCCAAAGTAGAAGCCCAAGACCAGGGCTGCCACCAACCTAGCCCTCACGGGGTGGCGCCATGGGGGCAAGGTGTCAGAGTGGCTGTGACCAAAAGCTGGTCCAGAACCTGGCTCTACCTACCACTTACAGGACATGTGACCTTGGGAAAATCACTTTGCCTCTCTGGGCCTCATCGCCTTCACCTGAGAATGGGCAGAACGCCAGCACGCAGGGTCGGTACACCGACTGGACGATGCATACATACAGGGTTCAGAACAACACTGGCACATGCAAAGAGCTGGAATGTTGTGTTTCTCAGGGGTCTCCCTCCGGGGGTATGTGAATACAGAGGGACTGGCTTCAGGACAGGGGCACCGCCCCCGGGGTTCAGGCCACATCCGCAGAGCTGCAGCGCTCCCCTCCCCTGCAGACCAGGGACATTGCAATCACTGAGGGACAGACTTGACCACTTCTGTTGGGGAGGGCTCAGTCTCCCTGGGAGAGAGGGCAGAAGGTCAGGGAGGCTGGACAGGAGCTAGGACTGCCCCTACACACCGTCACCTGTCATGGGTTTTCCGGGACAACCCGGAGTTCAAAGCCGCTGCTCCCTTCTTGCCCACAAGGGCCGCAGAACTCATCACCCTACGGCCCTGAAGTCCAGTCGGTGAGAACACAGGGCTCCATTCTGAGGCTGCATTCTTTGCAAATGACTCTCCCCGGCCAAGGAGATGGCTACTTTATCAAGGGCATGGGCAATAGACCTGGGCAGGCAGAGGTCCTCGCCCGGCCTGAAACCCATGAGTGAGCAAGGGAATGTGAGAGACCAGGGGTGGCCACCACCCACAACCTTCACACAGGAGGGTTGGGGGTTGGGGGTTGGGGGCGTGCTTGAGTGTTTAAACACAGCTTCCTCTTTACAATCTTCCAGGACCAGGCCCTTCACTGCGCCAGAGTTCTGCTCGAACTCACAAGTGGGGGTTGAAGGCGGTGGCTTGCGGCTTGCTCTCCCTGCTGGGAGCCCCCCAGGCTGCTGCTGTCAATCGCTCGATTCTCCCACTGCCCAGGCGCTCCTTCCTAACCTCGGGGCTGGCCCGCATTCCCGGCCCTGCGAGGGGGAAGCAAACTGCCCAGGGAACGTACATGGTGGGAGGGCCCGAAACTGCAGCTTTCCAGGGAGCCCTGGGGTGCGGGGGGGGGGGGGACCTCTGCAAAGGGAAGGGGCAGCGCTGGCGGCCACGCGGTTCTCCGGTAGGGTACGGCATTCCCGAGCCAATGAAATCGAAATGGGGATCCTGAGGCGGCTCTGATCCTAGGGAACGTACCGCCCCGTGCCCTGCTCTAGACCAGGTCCCCAGCTGTGGCTGGACCCCGCGGTGGGGTCGGGGGATGCAGAGGACCGCACAGGGTTGGGTCTCCGGGGCTCGGTCCTCCCCGCGCCTCTTAGAGGGGCCGGGCAGGGGGATCCCGCAGGCAGGGTGGGCCCGGACGCGGCTCCCAGATCACCCGGCCGGGCGGACGCCCTGCACCCACCCCGCTCCCAGCCAACCCGAGCCTCCAACTCACCGGCCTGGCGGAGGCAGAATCCCGGCTTCGCCGCAGCGGCGGGGGCTCGGCCGGGCTCCGCCAGCCGGCGGGAGGCAGGTCCACGCCGCCGCCTCTTCGGCCCGCCCCGCTCCACCCCTCCCGCACACTTTCCACAGGAAATGATTAACTCGGGCCGCGGCGCGTTCCCATGGCAACCGGCTCCAACCCAGTGGGGGGCGGCGGTGCGCGCGCGCTCCCGTGCACTCACGCGCGCGGCGACCCACGCCAGGACTACTCCTGCTCCGCCCCGACCGTCCCCTGGGTGCCCGGGCTCCTCGCACCCCGCGCACGCTAGTGCACACGTGCGCGCTCGCTCACCGGCGCACACGCATGCTCTTGCGTCCCCGCACAGACTCACACGCTGGTCACACCTCCCTCACACATACTCTAGTTGGTACGCTCGGACACATTCCCACACCAGTTCATACATACATACTTTTACACTTAACACTCTAAGACACACATCTTCAAACCCTAGTACAAAACTTTCACATGCACTAGTTAGTACTCACAATTACATGCGTCCTTGCTGCCTTTCACACTCTCAAACTCTGGAACGCGTTTTTTGACATTCTAGGACATGCTTTTTTACACACACTCTTATACACTCTAGCTAGTACATGTATACACTGTCACATTCTCACACGCTTACACATGCACCCACACACTTTCCCACAAACGCTTCGCACGCCCCTTGCTTAGTACACACGCACACTTCACATGCTCTGTGACTCATTCTCACACACTCTAGCACACGCATTCTTTTAACCCAAGAACACACTTGCATTTGTGCCCTCACACACTCTAGTGATGGCACGCACACGTGCGCTTTCACACATTATCACACGTTTTCACACGCGTGCTCTTACTAGCTCTGGTAGAAATACAGAGGCCAGGCTGCCTCCCCAGGCAGGGCACCCCCGCAGCCCTCCCCTCCCCCCAGGCAGATTAGTATCTCCCGAGCCGGAGAGCTGCTTGGGACTTTTTAAGGTAAGGTATTCCTTTCCGCCGCAATGAAGACTCGGTGGGAGGGCAGCAGCTCCCAGGGTAACCCCCAAAGGTCCTCTCGCAGATGCCTGGAGGAGCTGCGGAGAGACAGCTGACCCGGAGAAGCCACTCTGTCCTTTGTCTCCCAAACAGAGGCGGCATTTTACTCCCGAGCCAGCAGCAAGATTCCTCCTCCGGGGTGCGGAAGGAGGAGAAAGAAAGAACCTCAGAAGCCAGCCCAGCGCAGGCTGATGGTGCCGCAGATA